GGCCCCTCCCTGCCACCAGACAAACCCCCCCACAAACCCACATCACAGGCCTACAAACTGGAAAGGAGATATCCCAGCTTATCACGTGGGAATTCAGTCCTGGTAATCGTGGGGGGCCAGATTTCGCTAGGTGCTGTGCACCTCTCATGCTCACTGAAGTCAAAGAGCGCTCCAGATTTTAATGTCTCTTCTGCAGAGCCCATCAGAGCTAAATCCAGAGTCATATTCTGAGTCTCCAAAACTGTGATCAGTCCAAAAGAAAGCTGCTGCCCACCCAAACACCACGCAGCTTTAGTGTGGATCTTTCAGGGCCCATCCTTTTCAAATCCCGACCCTACACTTTTCCAGCCTACCCAGCAATTTCAGCCCAGCCACAAGAAACAAAGCTTTCCAACTTTCAGATCTTGTTGAGAGATTTGAAGGTTTCCATCAGGGCACGTGAATCAACAATGTTGTGGAGACACCGTGGATGCTTGTCCACTTACTGCTCCTCCAGGTGGGGACCAGTGATGCTGTCAGGGTGATGTTAAATATATCAAGAGCAACTGCAGGGATCCGGAGGTGAGGGTGCAGGGCACAGGAGGCCAGGACCAACACACAGAAACTCACACAGTAGGCAAAGATGCCCAGGAGAGCTGGTTGATCTTCCCGGGCATCCTCCTCGGAGCACCAGACTCAGGAGGATCTCACAGCTGTGTAGAATGACCCAAAGAGAGGCTGGCGGAGCTGACTTGTCTTCCAAGCACACAGGGACAGGCCAAAAGGCACAAGTGGAAACGTAAGAAATTCAGGCTAAATGAAGAAAATAATTTTCATCATGAGGGTGAGCAAACACTGAAAGAAGAGCCCAGAAAAGTTGCGGATTGACATCCCTAGAGGTACTCAAACCGTGGCTGGATGCAGCCCCAAGCAGTCTGCTTGATGTTAGACCTGTTCTTGAGCAGGAGGCTGGACTTCAGGGCTTCCACAGCTCCTTTCCAACACACGTGGTTCTGTTATTCTTCGCAAATTGATGGGTCAATAGCCAGAGCAAGCATGGAGAATCTCAAATAAATTCACATAATCATTCTCCAGAGTCAAACAGGCTGGCTTCCCCACAGCCAGGAGTGTGCCCAGATTTACAAAAAGTAACTGAGTTAGTTTCTCTGTTCTTTCTGTGGAAGGGGTAGACCCAGGCAAACAGACAGTGTCAATACCTGAGCCAAAACTTCCATCCCTCAATTTCAATCCACATCTCCCCAGGGGAGGAGCCTGGGCCATGCACACTGACCTCTATTATTCCTTACCAGGAACTGCTTCCCCAAACACAGAGAGGGGCAGGGGCTCCTGCAGGTCTCACTCACCTCTTTGGCACTCGTGAAGGCGACTCCCGAAAAGGCGTATCTGTCAACCACAAGCGTGATCCCTTGACTGAGTTTCTCCTTCATCAGTGGTCTGAAAACCACGCAAGAGAAAAATAAAATAGCATTACACTCCCTTATAACGATAAAAATGAAAGGAGTTCATCTAAAAGGAGTTCATCTGTGATGCTGATCTCGATAACGAGCTATTTGTATTCTCTCCTCTAACAGACGTTAAGTAAATACCCTTTAAAGACGCCCAAGTTCAGGGTGGCCCAGCGCAGGGCAATGCACAAGGCAGCTCCATGACTTACAGGCAAGACTACAGATAAACTACATTCCGACACAAAAAGCCTAGTCCTCTTCCCTTCTGAGGCGGTGCAGTAGGTTTGTGATACGCTCTGCCTCACTCAAAGTGTCCTTTATTCACACCAATGACATTTCTTATTGCAGCTCACTCATCTGCCTTATGCTTCCCCCGGTTGTGTGGCACTGCTGCTACAGTGGAATTAGCAATACTTTTTTTTTTTTTTATGAAAAACATTTTGCAATATAGATTTCCAGGTAAAAAAAGGTCGACGGTGATTTCCCCAGCTCCACAGGTGAAGACTCGGGGGCCAAAGGCAAGGACAGCCACTCAGAGCTGAATGCAGCCTTTGGCTAGAAGGGAACTTTGGACACGGCTCCGTAAGCATTCTGTCACTCCCATGGACTTTTCTGCAAAGCAAGGGCTCTTCACTCAGGGAAGAAAGTACATTCACAGTCTAGGCTGGTACAGTCTCAGCTCCCCAATTCCTGAATCCAGTAGAGCACAGGGATTGGAAATATCACTTGATGATTTCAGAAAAACAAACCACAGGATTTTATCTAGGAAGACTAAATCCAAAGCTGTAAGAGGTGCTAATAATCCTTGAGACATCGCTTCCAGCCACATTTCCCTGGCCAAACAGGATCATCCTCTCATAAATGCTGCACCCACTGCAAGCTAAAACCCCAGGAGGACTCAATACCGCACATTTTGCTTTGACAACGTAACGAAGATGGGCTTTACACATGTTCCCAGCGGTTAGCGGAGAACAGCAGATGAACAGTGTGGTCCTCCAGGTTCTTCTCCTTCCCCAGGTAGGAGCTGATCAGCTGCCCAATCTCCGTCGTTCTGTCTGGAGGGAAGAGGGGGAGAAGGAACTGAGCTGCTCCTGCCAAAGGGACGTCTGTTTGTCTGTCCCAGGGGAACAGCAGTTTGTCTGAGTCTGGCATGGGGGGGAGGGGTCTGTCTGTCACCGGTGGGAGGAGGTCTGTCCGGGGTGGGGGTCTGTCTGTCTGTCCGTCACGGGTGGGAGGAGGTCTGTCCAGGGTGGGGGTCTGTCTGTCACGGGTGGGAGGAGGTCTGTCCGGGGTGGGGGTCTGTCTGTCTGTCCGTCACGGGTGGGAGGAGGTCTGTCCAGGGTGGGGGTCTGTCTGTCACGGGTGGGAGGAGGTCTGTCCGGGGTGGGGGTCTGTCTGTCTGTCCGTCACGGGTGGGAGGAGGTCTGTCCAGGGTGGGGGTCTGTCTGTCACGGGTGGGAGGAGGTCTGTCCGGGGTGGGGGTCTGTCTGTCTGTCCGTCACGGGTGGGAGGAGGTCTGTCCAGGGTGGGGGTCTGTCTGTCACGGGTGGGAGGAGGTCT